CGTCTCGGCTTAATAAGCGGCCGCATAATAGGATGTTTCTTATATGTCTGGAGCCAAAGCAGCGGGGAAAAACCATAAAATACATGGTAAACAGATTCTCATGTCTCTGTACACATGTGTACTATCCATTTCTACGTTGCAAATACACGTGCTTCAGGTGTTCCGTGTGGTCAGTGCTGCTGTGTGTTTAGCCAGTACGAAGAATGCTGCGCTGCCTCTGCTACTGCAGTCCTAGCTGCTACGCATACGTGAAATCATTTTGCGTGGCATTGCGTACCTTTTTCTGTAGTTGAGTTGTAGAGGACCTGTGCTTGTGCCTAGCATTATTGCGTGTGCTCTGTTCTCTTTTTTTCCTCTGGTCCTTGCCGCCATAGGAAGATTATTTTGTCACACTCGTATCGGCGGCAGGACCTTCGGGTTTAACTATTTATTGCCAATAACTCAAGCCACTTTGAGGGACTCCTCATCCACTTAAAACCTGTGCAGTTGGAGAGGCAAGCGGTGGGCAGGAGCGGAGATAACAGGCGAAGATCCGTAACATCTCTAGGGGCCAGTGCAGACCTTCATTTGTGGCGTGGCCTAAGGACAGTTGAGAAACACTGCTAAACAGAGGGCTCAAGTAGGCAGCTGTAGCAGCAGGTCTTTCAGCAGTAGTAGCTGCTGCTGAAGCATGTTTGTGCTGGCGGGTGGAGCAACTCCACGCAGTGGCCTCAGCCTAGACCTAGTCAAGATACCCTAAGCGTAGACCTAGTCAAGATGCTCTAAGCTCGAATGTAAGTACTCTGTACGCAGAGTTTGGCAGCGGCAGTAAGGCAGAACAGTCAGCAGGGTTGGCACCAAACCAAGCAAGGCTCGCCACAGCAAGGCCAGAGCTGTTCTCGTGTCGTGGTCGGACCAGATTCTGCGGCGAAAAGCCATTGGGGCTGCATGATCTGCGTGGATCTTGCAGATGATCTTGGATACAACATCTGCACCCACTTAAGCATTCGTGCATGCCCTAATGACGCCTGTCTCGTGTTTATCTCCTTTGCGAACACCATGCAAGTACTAGGACGACTACATTTTGTCTGCACAGCCATGAAATCCCCATTATTATTTCATATCGTTTAAACGTAATGTGTTCCTCGGTGTGGGCGCTTGCTGAGCCCTCCCACTGTTCCCACTGTTTCGCGCAGCACACCTTTCCAACCTACAACGTGTGGAAATCACTGGGTGCCATTGGAGGGTGCTTTCAAGAATGCATCTCGCCACATTTCAGTTCTGCAATACATAAGGTTGCGTTTGCATTAATTGACTCTGGCGTTCTCGGAGAACCTAGTGGCACACTGTAGAGAGCTCCACAGCGGCGTTCACGTCTCTCAGCCCGCTGGCTCGCATTTCTACTAAACTTGATTTTCCAACCGATTCGCGGAGCTGGGCACATGAGCAGTAGTTTCGTCTCCAAGTTCCGCTTTACCCTCAGGTCCTGCTGTCATCTGTCCATGTACATTTCGATGTCTTCAAACTGAATAGTGTCTCACTCACCTGTGCGCTGTGAATCCCAA